CGAGGGGCAGGAACGGACGGAAGTAAGGTAGTTGACGAGCCGAGGAGGGGCGCCCCAAGTAGGGCCGGGGAAGGCAAGGAAAGCCTGCCCGGCACCGGACAGGCAAGGGGCGAGTCCTGCAGTAAGGTAGGCAACCGTAAGAGAGGGCCAGAGAAAAGGATGCGCAGAGAGAGGGGGCGCGCACCGGGTAGGCAGAAGACACAGTCGGATGAGGAGGATTCGCATAGACGAGGCGTAACAACGGCGAAGGAGGTCGCCGCTTCTGTGGAGAAGCAGAGGCTGGGTGGAGGCGAAGGTGAATGGCAAAGTAGCGACGAGCGAAGTTACCTGTGGCACGAGCCGAACTAGAGGCAACGCGGCGGAGTCTTGGGAACGAGGTAGAGAATATGAATGGTAGGTAAGAGAGTCGGCATGAGGCTGGAGGCTTACGTTTTCTGCTGTCGATGACTGCATTAGGTTATTTTCGTACTCTCTACTCGATTGCCGTGCGAGCGGCCCACCCGCCCTCCCACTAACAGCCAAATGGCTGATCGGAATTGTCTTTGAAGGGTTTGGGTACCGCGGGAGTGTGGTCGCAGACGCAATGGCCTTCCCCACAATAAGTTAGTAGTGAGTACGGATCACGCGATGACGTTTAAGCAATGCCGCTTCCATGCCATGGCCACCATTATCTTTGAGATCCTCCTCGAACTCCAGCATCCCTAGCTGCTTCCACAACATGGCTGTCCCGAAACGTGTCCCATCTGCGCTATCTATCTGTCCACGGAACCGGACTCTCATACAGGCTCACACACAGGACCTCGAGAGTCAACGCAGTCCGGCGAGTTAGCTGTCGTACGCTGGGAAGGAAGGAAGCGTAATCTTCCTAAGATTACACGAGGCGATGCATATGCTTGCCAATGGCCACAACCTTTCATACAACGCTATGCGGAAAGCGACCCCTGGCAATGATCACCGTACGGGTAGCCGAAGCTTTACTGTCGTCAGAGGCATAACAGTAAAATGTCCGAAAGGAAATCATTTATGAAGCCAACATGGGATTTGAAGCACAATAATCGACAAGGGGATAAGAGATGCCGAGTGCACATGTGAACCGCTGTTATTCATAGATTCCTCTCTGAGCAGCAGATAGATTCCGCCTTGCTCAGGCTTATGAACTGTGCGCCGAGCTGCATTTAAAAACAGCGATACAGCCTCATAAGCAAGTGTGCATGATAAGCCGTGATCCTGTCAAGAATCCAGTCATACACGATCACCTCCATCTTAAGCTCCACGTCACCATCCTGTCTTGCGGTCGATGCTTCTCACCCGCATGAGCGCGTACGTGTGCATTTCTGAACGGAAATGCCGGCAGCAGCCCCCCTGCCACAACTGGCTGGCGTGCATTACACGTTCACACACACATACACACACACACACACAAACACAAACACACACAAACACAACACATACATATGCACACATACATTCTTCAACCTGTACTTCTAATGGTACTTCACTGATGCAGAACTCCCGCTTATTCAGAACTCTAAAGTTACTCGACAAGGTTACTCTACAAATTTAGTTCACTAGCGAGTCAACAGTTCAACAGCGTCTCCTCCGCGAACACAAGTCGCACGCACGCACGCTACGTCGGTGCGCATCAGCCCGACCACCAGCCGCCCACGACACCCGGGTGCACCTCCCAGCCGTCCATCCGACGTATGTCTGTGGTGGCGGCGGCCTTCCACCTACCTCCGGCCCGTCACGCCGCTTGCACTAGCACCGGCGCAAGCGCCCCAGCTAGTGCAATCGCAGCAGGTGCAAGCGCAAGCTCACGAGCAGTCGACCCGCGGTGTTGCGCACACGCTGCCACAGGTTGTGGCTCTCCTGGCGCACATACTCCACGTTACCCGCGCGTGCCCCCGGCTCCTCACCCACCTGCGCACGTGTCAAAAAGCCACCACGTAACGTGGCGGGTGCGGTATTGCGGATTGGTGAGGTGGTCAAGGAGGAAGGGGCGGAAGGGGAAAGGTTATCTCTAAGGAAATGGGTGTCGCAGCGGGGTGATAGCCATTACGAAACGGAGGTGGGAAGCTCGGCTGCATGAGGAGGCGAAAGGTAGCAGAGGTTCTTGGAGGATTATACCGCCGTGCCGAGGACCATGTACGAAGCCAAGCCCAGCAGATCCAGGTGCAGCCATGCACCTGGCAATCAATTGACCCAAACGCGGACTGAGACCAGACTCAGGATGGGAGGGGAGGGAGAGGGGGAGGAGGGTGGGACGCAATAACACGGCAAGGCATATACATATGTGCACCATTCCACACGCATACGCGAACATGATGGATGGATTTGAGGGTGCAATTTTCGCTCGTGTGCAGCATGCATGCGCGTGCTTTATGCACTCGCGACTGCAAAAGTGCACATACATACAGCCGTACGCAAACTATCACCGCTAACTGAGACACACAACACACACACGTGCTCACCACGACACCCATCAGCTTGAACTTGTGCCCTTGCGCCGCCTGCCGGTCGCCACTGTCACCGCGACTGTCATTTGTGTGGCCGCTGCCGCTGCTGTGGTCTCTCTCCGTGCGCAGTGCCGCCGGACTGGGACCTCCGGACTGCAGCTCAATGACGCACTCCGGGTGCTGGGATACCTAGAAGAAAGTAAATGGGGATGGCGGAGTTGGGGGGCATGCGGGCATGTCTTGGGGTGTATGTGGGGGGGCTTTACGGCCATTGTCTATTTGTTCGGGCGCGTTATCGGGCCTTATCGCGTTTGGGGCATGTGTCGTGTAAGCTGCGCGCTTTGGTAGCACAGGCAATCGAAAGTAGCGAGGAGAGAGGATGCCTTGGAAACGAAGACGACCGCGAAGACGACGACTACCTTTGTGCTCCGGTGTGGTGAGGTGTATACACTCCAATAACTGAGCCACGACAGGGAAATTAGGCAAACCGATGGCGAACCAGCGGCAAAGCAAAACGGCGGAACCGAGGCCGACAACGAACCGCCGGCCTGACACAGAGTCCCACCCAGATGCCAGATGCATCCAAGCGCCCAGACAGCTCCCCCCCTCCCCTTCACCCCGCACCCACCCTGATATCCTTCATTGCGGTCAGGGAGACGATCCGGCTGCTGAAGGCGTCAATGGTTTCGGACGTGCAGGTGCAGCCCGACACACACGACAGCTTGGCGGTGCTCATGCCGCGGTAGCTCTGCAGGTGCGCGATCTGGGCGGCCGGCATGGATGAGGGAGAGAGTGAGTTCAATGCCGGCAAGAGGGATGGAGAGACGGGCAGGCAGGCGGACAGGGCGGCAGGGAGAGACAGCACCCGATGGGTGGTGGTGGTGGTGGTAGTGTCGTTGTCGTTGCTGTCGTTACAGCACAAGGGGCACCATACAGACACATACAGGTTAGAACAGAGGCGAAGCAGCCCAGCGAACAGCGGTTGAGTGTGCGTGAGAGGCGGCAGGAATGAAGCACACACATCCCCTCACACAATGCACCAGAAGCCCCCCCCAAAAGAAACAAGGCAAAAGGCAATGGCAAGATTAACTTAGTTTTGGGGTCTGATGCGGCCGGTGGAGGTGGAGCATGTATAGGAAGCACGAGCCCGGAGCAATCAGACTCATCTTCACCAGCCGTTGCAGGGCCGTGTCCAAACATGCGCCCGGTGAGGAACTGAGATTCGCCAACATTGGCACGTAGGCACACAACCGACAACCGTCCAACCACCTGCTCAAGACGGCCCGCCTCACCAACCACCACCCTAAGCCCCCCAACCCTACCTGCAGCACGATGGGCGCATCCAGGTGCTCCTCCGACCGACTGCCAGCCAGCTGGGTGTTGACCTGCGGCACCGGGGTAGGTAGGCGAAGAGGAGGAGGCGGGCGAGGAGGCGGCGGACCTTGACACGGGGTGACGGGGCGGGGCGGGGCCGAGGGATGGACAGAGAGACTGACTGACAAGGCATACAGACAGACAGACAAGGCATACAGACAGACTGACTAACAAGGCATACAGGCAGACAGACAGATAAGAAAGCGCAGGTTGACAAAACATTCACCTTGAACCTGATGGTCTTCCCCGGCTCGGTGGCCACATAGCCCCACTTCCCACGACCTTCATCCGTCCAATTCCAGCCGTCCACAGGTTGCTGCACCAGGGCCTGAGGGGAGGTGGGCAGTAGGGATAGGCAATAGGAACGGGAAAGACCATTAGCGAGGTCAAGGCGAGCAACGCTGCGCCGTGTGGATCCGGGTCGGAACCACTCAAGGGGCTGTCAGAGCTAAGGGGGTCCAGACTTCGAATTCGAAAACGGAAACATTTCAAACCGGGAGGGGCACCAGCGGGCGATCCCCGGCCAGCTGCATCCTTGCATCTTCACGCCTCCACAGCATGCAAAAAGGTTATTTCGCTTGGGGGGAGGCTATTTGCATAGGATATGTGTATGTGTGGCACGAAGAAAAGAATGCTGCACACTACACCCTGACTTTTTCGTTGACAAAGGAGACCGATCAAACAGCGAATTAGATGTAATACATACATACATACATACATGCATACATACATGCATACATACATGCATACATACATGCATACATACATGACCTGCGAGCCGACCAGGAACGGAGTTGGGCCGCTGTCGACCCGGCAGATTCCGTTGGATGCTGGTGGTGGGTGCGGAACCTGAGCAGAGCTGCCCAATTCCCGGGAAGATCCGGGAATCCGTAATTCGACCAGATCATTCCACCAGATTACTGCGTGCCAGGTCTCTTCACCAGCCCCGAAATACCGGGGAAGGCAGGGTTTCGCAGGGTAGCTGCCACGGGCGAAGATACACCCCTCTATTTCACACATCATACATGCATAAGCATGCCAGCAGCACACCTAAAAACACTGCATGCACACATCCCCTCGAACAAATGTTTTTCCTATTCCTTAAACAGATAACTGGGACCTTACAAACTCTTGCCTGCAGATCGTCCTCTATGTAGCACGTGTTGTTGGCGGTCTCGTAGTTGCTGGGGCCCATTGGCGGCGGCAATGGCCGTGCCGCCACGGCCGCAAGCGCGGCCTCGAAGCCCCTTCCCGCTCCCGCTCCCGCTCCCGCCCCCTCCGACACCGCCATCGCGCCCCATCCGGCCCCGGAGAACCTAGGGTTTGATTGTAGCAGCTCCTGAGCTACACCGGCCCGCATTGGACGTTGTCCGCAACCGCATGTACATGTGCATGTCATGGCAGGGGAGTTCGCAGATTGCAGAAGCAGGGGGCCAAAGTTTCTGTCCTTTTGCAAACCGGATAGAGATTATAGGGACTGGATAGGTAGACAATCTGCCCCCCCGGAGCTTGTGAAACCGTTTTTCCGCAACCGGGCATGTACGTCGTACTCCCAGCCCGTCCCCCCCCCATCCGGGAGGCCGTTCTGAGTGCTCAGGGTCTGCCAGGGTCCTCCCCCCCCCTCCCTCTTCCCCCAAACAGGACCTCCACCGCTCCAGGAGGCCTCCAGGGGTCGGGGGGGATTGGAAGTCGACACACGAGCGGCACAACGAGTGGCACCGCCCTCCTCACCGTGCAGAGCGTGATGAGCACCTCGGCTATGACGACATGGCCGCCACGACCCGGGTGGTTGAGGCCGCCGTTGAAGATGCCGCCCAGCGACATCTCCTCCGCACCCCCCACGTAAGCGGAGGGAAGCACCGCGGACTTGAGACTCACCTGCGGCAGCGGCGGAGGCGGCATCAACGACTTATCGATCGATCACAACAATCATTCCATATCCCATTATTGCTACTGCCACAGAGCCCCTCACTCCCTCCCTCCCCAGCCATTCATTCCCTCCCTCCCTCCCCAGCCACTCACCACCCCCCCACTCCCTCCCTCACTCCCTCCCCAGCCACTCCCTCCCTCCCTCCCCCCCAGCCACTCACTCACCGCGGGCAGGCTGTAGTAGGTCGCGAACTCCATAAAGTCGCGCTCCGCAGTGTACCAATATCTGTATGTAAGTATGTATGTAGGTGACGAGGGCGTGTGCTTAAAGCGTTTTCAAACGATTTTAGGATACAATGAAGACAGGCAACCCCATGGCCAGTGACGAAGGGTGATTCATGTACGTGTGCTTGCCACGCGGCTCCAGGGCGCGCACCAGGCCTTCCTCCTTAACCACTTCTCATGACCCTAAGTATTTCCTCTTGCATCCCCTCCGTTTCCCCCGGCCCGCCACGGGCTTCACTCCCAGCTTTCTCTTCACCAACACTGCCACCTCAAACTGCCCTACGATCAAGTCCAACTAACGGGCTGTGGGTTTTTCAAGCAGCAGCAGCGGTCATGTCATATCTTACAGCCGCCCCTCGGCACCTCCCTTTGCCTTTAGCACCCTTGGGAGGGGCCTCTGTTTCAACCCTTCGACCCTTCGAACCCTGCTGGCCCCAACAAACACCACCTTTTACCGCCACTCCCTCCACGCCGCGCCCACCTCAAGAAATACGGAACCCCCGCGCCGTGAAACACACAGCCGTGCAGCCATTGCCGAGAATGTGGCCAGGACCTCATCCTCCGTCATCTCCCGGGGGGATCGCCACTTGAACCCCCCATTCATTCATTTGCAGCAATTCCGATGTACCTGCTGCGGATGGTGGAGGGTCCCAACCCCTGGTCCATTCTCTCAGTCCCCCGCTTTCCTCCCCCCTCCCTGCCTCCCTCACTGCTTACTTGCGGTGGGAGGGCCCCATGGCGAACATGTTGACCAGCACCACAGCCGGGTTGGACGGCAGGTTGAGCACCTTGCGAAGCAGGCGCTCCAGTTCACGACGGGGGGAACCCTGCGGGTGCGGATGCGCCATAAAAGACGACCCACGGGTCGATCATCGTGGAATCCGGAGGCGACGAATGGGAGCCAGAGACCTACCACCTTCCCACGCTTCACACCCACAAGGCACCCCTTGCACTGGGCATACATACACACAAACACGACGATTTCTTTTCGTGGCTCAGAACGTTAAAACACACGCGAAGACCTAAGAAAAAAGGGGCGACGCATTTTCGCACCAGAGCCGCACGTGAACAGATGCACGAGATGCACACGAGCCACAAACGCGTCACGCATGCGCGCCTGCACTTGTGGCACGGAAGGGCCATCCATTCACTAGAGCCACACACAGGACCTGTCCAGCCTTGCATGGCCGTGTCCCTTAGTCCAACCCCCCAATAGGGGAACTGGACGATGTCTAAGTCCGGGCTTTTATTTCAAGCCGTCAACCCTTTCCGTGTGCGGCTCCGTCCCCTCCTTCCCCTACCCCTTTCAGGCTCATCCGCTCATCGCTCTTCCCAATGCTCTTCCCTCTCCACTTCTCCCACTCTCGCCAGTCCTCGCACCCACCCCCACCCACCGCCTGCCCCCAAGTGGCGGTTGGGTGGTCGTTGACCGCGAAGTCCACGAAGACCAGATCAGCGCCCGGGATGAGGTGGTGCTGCAGACAGCTGCTGCTATAGCCTGACATCGTGCCTGGCAGCAGTAGCAGTAGCAGCAGTAAGAACAGCAGTAGCAGCAGTAGCAGGAGCAGTTGCAACAGCAACAGTAGCTGAAGGATGGCCAGGTAAGAGGAAACAAGAGGAGCGAGAGTGAGCGAGTGAGTGAGTGAGTGAGTGAATGAAAGACCTGTGAATGCGGATCAAAATCATTTTACCCTTGTCGCGACGGCAGGCTGCCCTCTAATCTCATCTATGCAGGATACTCTTTTGCAGGATCCTAAACCCCTTAGGAGTCAGCGGACCCCTCACACAGCCCAGAGGTCACCTTTAACCTGTACGCCCCGCCCCCGGCCCCCTGCATCTGTAACTCGCATATGGGAACACGGACCGCATTTTAGACCCGTTCTATTGACCCGTCTACCTGCCCAGCGGCACGTGAATAGATTAACGGGAATTGAAGTGGTTCTCTATGGCCCAAAGGCCCTTTGACCGACCCGCGGGTCATCCTCACTGAAACCGTGTCCAGCGGAAGCGGGAGGACGACTCACCCGGGATGGCACCGTTGAGGAACTCGTGTTCGGACGGCTGTGCGGAGCTTCGGAGCGATCGCCGCCACCACTGCTGCTGCTGAACAGCTAACAACTCATGGCCGCTGCCACCACCTTTACCTCGGTCTTCGCCATGGGCACCTTTACTGCCGCCCCTGCGGCGCCTGCCGTCCTCAGCCAGCAGGTCCGTCTGGGTGTGCGTGATCTGGTTCAGGTTTCGGCCGTTGAGTCCGCGCGGCGGCATGACGTGGTTCAGCCAGTCCATGAACTGCTTGATGTACGTGTGGTCGGCGCCGCCCACACCCTGTCCGGCGGTGATGCTGCCCCCCAGCGCACCCACACGGAGCAGCTCACCTGCTACCCAACAGCCCGAGGAAGCAAGACATGGACAAATTGATCGGCAACTGCCGTACGGAAAGGGCGCATTGAGATGTCAAAGGTTTGTTTGCCCTATCGGTCTGTGGCGAGTGTAGGCTTCGAGGAAATAACCATTTTTACCATAAGTGGAAGTAGCTGTCGGGAGTGTAAGGACGATTGAGAAGATTGAGAGGAAAGGCCTGCGTGGCGACTTCCTTGCTTGTAGGCATTGCATGGCCAATCGTCAGCTCCTAACGCGTTTTGAAAACCGGGAAATAAACTATGCACTATGGAGCCCTCGGCTGGGAATATTTTCCTTTTCGCTCTCCTTTGCCGCGCGGGGTTGCCTGAACTAGAGCGGCGCACATGCTTACCCCGGCGCGCGCGCTCCAGGACGAGGCGAAGACGTGCTGCATGTCCAACATATGTGATCCCGGCCAAACGCTCTGGCAGCGGAATGAGGAATGTATAATCTCCGGGTGCCTCTTTCCGTTCATTATCAGGAACAATGCGTTCTAGGACCGTATAGTTATAGTATATGTGAGCATATTTAACCTCGATCTCGGTCAAATTGTCCAAACGTGGCCCTTCAGCCTTTGAGCCAATAGATAATGCCGCCACAACAAACAGTAGCCGAAGAACACTAGATGCGACAAAATGGGGCTGAGTATGTAGTAAGCGTGTACGTGCATGCTGAAATGCTTGCAATACTCGTAAGCCTAATTGCATAATGCGCTCCGTTTTCCAAACCCTCATCTACGGTTTCCACAACCTGTAAGGAAAAAGGCTTGAGAACTTTCAGAAACAATACCTCCTTGTTCTGCAGGAGGCTTGGAACATATTCAATTCGTACCACAGTCGGACTTATCTATGGTTAAAGCGTTAAGCCCCGTTGTCGTATGAAGCATGTTACGCGGCTTTCGCCGGCTCTTCTTGTATTATACCTATCTTTGTTGATGATATATGTGACTTTCGCAGCTTTACTATAAACTGTGTAACCTAATAATGTTCGTGACGGAAGTCCCTGTAGATCTGCGATCCTTCGGTTACTGAGCGTTCGCCCTGCAAGACACCTAAAACTTATTTATCCAGCCTCACAGTAATGAGTACTTCGGGAAGGGCATAAATTGTTGGCTCCCCTGCTGGGGCCCATTTGAGCTGACGACCCGCGAAATCGGTATTTATCCTGTATTTTCTTAATGTGCCATACGTCTGAATGCAAAGCCAAAGGCCAGCATCGTGATAGCGTGGAATCTGCTATTTTGCCGTGTATTGCGTGCACGCTGCACACGGTCGCAGCCTCAAATATTTCGCTAGGCGTATCAACCTTCCCGATAAATTTGCTTTAGTGGTATGGTTTCCACTTTAAAATTTCTCTACCTTACACTGAGCTTTAATTTGATGACTTCCTTTTTCCACCTATGCCGAAACGACACAACTCAAGAAGCAAACTTTACGTGTTCTTTTATTACGACGGCACAACCTAGCAGAGAGCCTATGAGCGGGCAGTCAACACTAAAGCAGCCGATGTGTCGTCCTGCAGCAGCCGTCCTGACGCCAAGTTTTTCGCTCAATTGTAGTAAGCATCGCTGGCAGGACCAGGAAAGGCAGCCCTAATCGTCGACAAACGGTCACGCGGCTGTTGCACCATGAGGATTACGACCACAACCCTGAGATGTACGAACGCGGGTTGTACCGAACCAACGCCCAACCAACAGCGATAGTCGAAACAATTAGCTCCGCCAGGACAAGAGGGCAAAGCATGCCCATCACTCGATGCTGTACATCGCTGAACTATATGCTGTGGCGTGCATTACGGACCGCAACGCCGAAGGCTAGCGCCTTTTCCATCCGCCACTCAGGCCTCAATAACGTCGCATGGTGCTGCAGGGCTTTCCCTCGAGTTGAGCAGCCGAGCTCAGCACAAGTTGTCGGCGGCCATGCCGAACCGCCATGCCATCCACAGCACACGCACTCACCACACGTCCCCACACTCTCCCCCCCCCCCGTCCGACCGCTCCCTAGTTATCCGCCGGAATCCTCCTCTCCCCCTCCAGGCTATGCTAAGCGGGATACACCGCGCCGGAATGGCTCCGCCAGCTGCCGCAACTCACCTGGCCGTTGTCCGTCTTAAGGGGAAAGGGGAAAGGAATATATCAGCAAACGATAAGTCCAACCACACAACCGTATTATATAATTACATATGGATCGGCGCGAAGAAGGGTCGGCCCCCCGCGTCACTTGCAGAGCCCTTTTTTGCAGCGGCCATGACGCCAGCAGTCTCTCACCTCCACTCTCCTATATACATGGACACACCTCGTCGTCGTTGATATGGGTCCCGATAGAGGTTCACCGGTGCTGCGGTGCGTGTGTTCGTTTCGTAGCAAGGTTGGTGAGGGGGGGCCATCTGTGTGGCGTGATTTGTGTAGCGGTGTCAGCCGACGCGGGACGATCTACGGAGGCCCCTCCAAGGTCCCGGAGCCGACAGCCAGACAGTATATTCCGACAGCAGGCAGGCAGGCAGGCGGTTCTGCCTAACCCAACCGCCGCTGTCTCCCTTCATTCCATTTTCGGCACTGAGTGAAAACAACTACCTGCCAACGTACCAAGAAGTCATCCGCTTGAAGCTGCCAGCTGCGACCTTGTCAATCTTCATTGTCTTCTTCATCTTCTTCGCGCTTGTGACTTCTTCTGTAAGGAGTAAACTCCTTCAAGGCGGCCTCCTCCCATCTTTCCAATCATGGAACCTGGACCCATCTCATACGCCGCCCTCTCCTGCCTACTGCTCCCCTTTTTCCTGCGTTGCCACGTTGCCACTATAAAACAAACGTCTCACGGGCCTGTGGACCACACACGCGCCTACTCCCTGCTCGGATAGAAAGGTTGCGGATGACTCGTTTGCTCGTCCAAACCGAGTCTTTCGTAATAACAGCAACCAGCAAACCACCTGCACACCCACAGCCTTTCCCTCTTCAGGACGTTGACCAGCTTTTTGGCCGTCGTTCCTTTGTCGTCCATTTCTCCATACACGCCGTCTCATGGCTCCAAAAGCGTGCAACAAAACCCACTGAGATTATTAATGTACATACGCTCGACAATTCCATCATCCTGCACCGCCTTCGCCCTGTGTGGGGAAAAATGATGACACCCTCCCACCCCGCGTGTTGGCCCGACCCCGGCTCCGTCCTAAAGCGCCTGCGCATCCTCAAGTAGGCCCCTGCCTGCCGCCTTGACAAGCCACACGCAGAGCCTCCGAAACTGGAAACGTGTATAGTAGCCTGGGCTTGGAACCCATACATACTACGACATAACTTCCAGCGTCCGGAGGTCAGAGCAGCACTTCTAATGGTTGCCGGAGGACAGCACTGGAAGGCGGAGCAGCCACGCCATCGCATTCAGCCACGCCATCGCATTCAGCGGCTGCAAATCTCCTCAAACACCTCCTCAAAATGCTCCGGAGGCTGCGCGCCAGAGAGTTTGTAGCTACAGCATTGGGAGCGTTGGCAGCAGCAACAGCAGCAGCAGTGAAAGCATCGTTACCAGCAGCATTGGCAGCAGCAGTGACAGCAGCATCCGCACCAGCTGCAGTGGCAGCCCTGCGGTGTGTGCGACTTTTACACATACAGACACACACAGACACACACACACAAACATACACAGACACACACACACAGACACACACATGCAAGCAGTTGTCGGGGAGCCAAGGAAGCACCGGGTCGTGTGTGCCCCCAGGAGGCCCAAACGGAAAGGAAACGGCCATGCGGAGGCAGGGATGAGGGGGAGGAGGACAGGGAAGGGGGGCCCATAGACAGGCCCCGAGGCGAAGGCACACTAGAGCGCAGGGCGCCTTTGCGGCCGTGTAAGCAGACAGACCAAAGGGGGCCCGGAGCATCCACCCACCCGCACAACAAAGCTCGCTGTGCCACTACACCCGCCAACCTACCGCACCTCACCCCAGCCTCATCATGCCTATCTCACCTCTTGTTAATGATGAAGAACGGCACGCCCCCCACACCCCGCCCCCTGGCCAGCTGCTGCTGAACCTCCTGCAGGTGCGCCTGTGGGTCGTCCAGGACCGCCGCGGCGCCGTCGGCTGGCAGGCCTACCTGGACCGCCGCCGCCAGCAGCACCCCGCGGTCGCTGATGTGCTTCTCCTGCCAGGGTTCCCCGCCGCCAGTATGACAGGCGGCAAGAACAGACAGACAGACAGATAGACAAACAATAAGCCAGGATTGGGCCATACTGAGCGATCTTGGGTCGGACTGGGCTGTCCGCAGCACGGTGGTACGACACATGGGCGCCTTGTTAACCCCATGCTGGCCCTCACATCCCCTACTCCTGACTACACACGGCCGTCGTGAGCTTTCAAACCCGCATCCTAGGTCTAGATGTATACAACACACCGGCATGGTATAACGCACCGAACGCGGTGCAGCAACCCGCCCGCCGCACTCAACCGTGTGGCGTTCCCCGGCCATACAACCTAACAGGTTTTCGCTGCCAGCCCTCCAGAAATGCTACTGTGCCCCCCCCCCCGCCGTCGGCCATCCTCCACCAGCCCTCCACCCATAACACGTGAAGCGGGCACTCGGCGAACGGCGCCGCCGGGAGGGGAGGCCCACCGGGGTGGGGGTGTCACTACGCCGTATCGCCCTGCGCCCTTTGTGTCAACACGCTGCAGTGGAGCACGCGAGAGCCAACCCGTGGAGCCTCTCCCCAGACCCAGCCGCCGCGCGTCCAAGCCGACGCCGACCGCCACCCAAACCAACGGTATCGATAATCCGACCCGAAACGCGGCCGTCGTCGTCGGGACAGACCCGATTAACGGGACAGCGGAGATTATATTTTACTACACCCCACACAAATACCTGGCAGAAATAGTTCTGGAAGAGCTCCTCCACCAGTGCATTTTGCTTGTCTGCACCAAACTGCTCCGACCAAGCGATCAGCCTGCACGCCACGTGCATGGAGGCGGAAAATTGCCCACTAGCTTGCCCACATCCATGCCGATGTGCATCTCCCTGCCCTGTCCGCGCCTTCGTCGACTCAAAACGTGTCGATACAAAAATGTGTTGAGATGCATCCGAGCGGCCCCAATCGTCGCTCCTGTAACCCCCGACCCGCATCCCAGGCGCAGCTCTGCCCGTTGACGGCACAGCGTACACCGTGTACCGCACCTCTACGGCACCTCGTGCACCTTGACCTCCCTCCTTCCCCCCTCCCTCCCCCAAGGTTATATCTTCCTTGTTCGTTGCACCGCACGATTCCCCTCTCTCCCGCAGACCCGCTGGCCCACCGGTGGCTACTCACCGGTGGCTACTTAGCGTGTTGCCCAGGAGTCCGCCTACGCTGTACTGAAGGCCTTCCTCTGCAAAGGTCCTGCAGGGACCTCGAGCGGGCCGCGATCGCGGTCGAGGGGTTACTGTTAGTGGTGGCGGACAGGGATTGTGACGCTAGATGGCGAGGAGGATTTGCGGAAATGGAGGGAACTGTGGCCCAGAGGCGGCCCAGATGTGGTCCGGAGGGGGCCTTCAGGATGGTGACGGAAAAGGGGGGCTTAAGAGGAACCACAGACGATTGAAGGTGATGCCAGAGGATCGGCGACGAAGAAGGGGGGTGGTGGCGTTGGCAACGTAATGGTTAATCGTCCGTGAGGTGAGGTGCAGCGGGCAGAGGCAGGCTGGGCGGAGGAGCGCTGGGGACCGCGTACTAGTGGTACCTGGCCATGCGTGGCATCATCTGCGCCACTTGCGCCGCACCAAACTTCTGGTTGTAGAATTCCAGCTTCACTACGCCTTCCTTTGGAGCGTCCGGGTTGAGCTGGAAGGGCAGCCAGCGTACCGTGAAGTCTGCTCGGTCGGCGAAGCGGGCCATGGCTCGCTCCAACCGGCGCTTGCCGACATAGCACCAAGGGCTAGGGGGGGGGGGAAAGAGGGGGGCTGCGGTTGACAGCTGAATGGTTTGAACGTGTGTAAGGAAGTATAGGGGACGTGGAATGGCACGGAGGATGCATCTCGCCGTGGGAAGGCTATGTATATGGGCGGTGGTGGAGGCGGGTCTGATATTGAGAGGGGTTGCAGGACATGGATTTCATGCTGGTGAGCTGATAGCGCAAGCTTTCAACAAAAGCAATGCCGGATTCAGCACGCATAAGCCCTCTTCCGTCTCATCGTGACTATTGCGGATGGGGCTACTGCGTACGATGGGCCATCCATGTTACGCTGTGGAAAAAAGAACGTCTCGGGTAATAGCCTCGAGGGCTATATACGTTACGCCATGCACGCCAAGCCCGCGTCATAGTCGGGGCCGTATCTCTTTACCGTTGCTTGCGGAGGGACAGGCCAACGGGCCGGGTGGAGCACGACCTGTACCTTGGTGCACGATTCAACCTTTAATTCTCAGTCCCTTCTCACCAGACAGTGTCAGATATTACGTCAACTGAAATCTTCTTCTTTCCGTTCGGGGTTGCCATACCTCTGCTCCTCCAAGCTGCAACGTTATAAAAGCGTCCAGACTTAGAACTTAACAAGTTCATAAAAACAGATAGGTATACCTAGAGAAACGCTCCATGCGAACATCTGCCATCATGGGCTTACACCATTTCTGTTCGTTGACGAGCTCCACGACATGAAGTACGTGCAAGCAGAACGAGCTTGGTGTTGCTGTCAGCATACAGTAATCTATTGCACGAGGGGTCTGTAAGAGAGTATGGATTTCACTGCCTTTCGCACATAGGAAGATACACCCTGCATACGATGTCAACGGTGTGGCCTCCTCTCCTTACATTATATTTGCATGAGACGATTCTCGTAACTTGAGAATTAACATCTGAAGCTTACGTAACTCCTTTACCTGGCGGGCTTGATCTCAAGGGATGCCGAAGGGAGAATGACCGAGGACGCAAAACCTACTGTAGAAGAAACAGCGGCAGCACGTCGTGAAAGACGTAAACGCTCGCGATGGGGGGAGGAGACGGAGGCGGGAAAGAAAGTCCTGGAGGAGACGGCGCAGCAGCCAGAGGCTGCGGCGGGCACGACGGAAGGAGATCAGCAACAACAAGCAGCTGGTGAGCGTGAGGGCTCTGTTGGTCCCGGAACTGGCGATGCAGCTCCGCGAAAGCGTCGCACCAGATGGGAGCCGGAGGAGCAGAAGGTTATTCCTGGTCTATCAACAGCAATTACGCTGCCACCGTCTCTTGCGCACTTAGTTGACCTCAACCCAGAAACGCTGGAGCTGCAGATGCAGTTAAACAATGTAAGTTCCGGCTGGATTTGCATGGGAAGCAGTGGCGGGACTCCCGTCACTAGGTGCACATGGAGGAGAAGTTTGCGTTGCATGACTGGATGACGCAGTGTTTGCATTTTCGATACATGTGGGTTGTGTTTGTGAAGTCTGCGGTGTTGCCGGCATAGTCCACGTAGCCACGTACCCGCACCCCGCGGATGCTCAGCCCAGGATATCAGGATGCCATCCGTAGCGTCTTCAAGTCTACCAGCCATCTTTCGTATCAACTGTGGGGTGAAGTATAGCTGGCGTGGAACTACTGGGCCTTCGGCACACATTCCCGGGGCCAGATAACCCAACCTTCACTTGTGTTGTTGTTTTTGCTCTCACCGTTTACATGGCAGAGCCGCATGGTCTATCTAGGCGTTTCCAGCGAGCGTTGGGCCGCTGGACAATGTGTTTCACGCCACAGCCTGCACGGGTTTGAGATGTCGTTGCCATGCAAGCGGCCTACAGCTTGGCTAGCTTTAGGACGGTGTTGTGTATGACCTGATGCTGGAAATGTCTCTTGGGGGAGAAGAGTGCGAGAAAATATCCAGCCCAGCACATTTGAATGCATATGACTGCCAGCATCCCTAAGATCGCAGCAGAAAATATGTGAACCACCTTGGTCAATCCGTCCACTTCACCCCTAAATCATTTCACGCTTCATACCTCACCGACGTTAGCGGCTGCTGCGCTGGACCCCTTTCCTTCAAACCCGCAGGTCAACCAGCGGATCGCTTTGCTGCAGGCCGGTAAACTGCTGGATGACACACCGCCGGAGCAGCGCTCCCCGTCGCCGGAGCCCATCTACAACGAGTTTGGCATCCGCCTCAACACCCGGGAACAGCGCACGCGGGAGAAGCTCCAGGAGAGGCGAACGGTGGGTGTGTGCTCTGGGCAGAGAACGGATCTCTATGGGGCTGAGGAAGAGGGAAACACAGGCGACGAAGATGACATAGCTGGGCTGTCCATAAATGCAACCCAGACCCAGATTTAACGGAAAACAGTGCTTGGAATTTCGGGTATTGTGTGTGCGTCCGGTGGGCAATTCGTTGCGGACATGGCCCAGAAAGGTGGAAAGAATGCGGTCAGATGCGCGTGTCAGTGGGTCCGGAAGCCAGTGACAGAGGATGGCGTCCAGGGAATACAGGGGGGGGGAGGAAAGGGCTCGCGCACCCCAGGGATGTGTGATTCACGTGTGCGCGGATAGCGATGTAAGGTTACGCATCCTTCAATAGGGTGTAACATTCTGGGGCCACATTAGTCAGTAGCTGGTGCTCCTTGTCTCTCCCCGGTTATGAAACGACACGAGGGTGTGTGGGCGGTACCTTCAGCCTCAGAGCTGCTCAGAGCTGCAGGGAGCTGTGTCCAGCCATGCCACGGCTGATGGTAACCCATGGCACCGGAAAGGAGGTTACTCTTTGCGCTGCTTCCCGAATGGTTTCAACCGTGCGGGAGGTCACAGCCATATATCAGAGAGGAGCTGGGGCTGCTCCACGGCACGGTGAAGGTGAAGGTGAAGGACGGGAAGGGCGCAAAGAAACCAGCTTTACAGGAGGCCTGTTTAGCTGCTCCTTGGCGCCCGGGATTCTCCAGCTAAAGGAGCGTGGACCAGGGCAGAGCTTGGGGAGTGGAGGCCATGGTTCGGAGCATGGCAGTGGATTCTGGCAGTGAACCTTCACAGGCTGCACGGACGCTCCGAGCCGCATGGCAGCCTGCTGGGGCGTCCTGCACCGACCAGTTGCTAAGCGCCGATACGCGCGCTTCCACATACTGCCCGTAAATTCTACCTGCGCCGTTCCGCCAATCGCAATTTATCCCTCCTTCTCCGCGCCCACGCTCGCCGCCACCTCCGCAGGAGCTTATCATGGAGCTCATCAAGAAGAACCCGAACTACAAGCCCCCTGCTGACTTTCGACCGCCGCGCAAAACGCGCAAGATTTACATTCCGCAGAACGAGTATCCCTCCTACAACTTCATCGGCCTCATCATTGGGCCGCGCGGCAACACCCAAAAACGCATGGAGAAGGAGACCAACACCAAGATCGCCATCCGCGGCAAGGGCTCCATCAAGGAGGGCCGCACGCGGCGGGATCCCATGGGTCGACCTGAGCCGGGGGAGGATGATGAGCTGCACGTGCTGATCACGGGCGATACCGATGAGGATGTGGATAAGGTCCGTCCGGTTTGGGCTAGGGCTGTTAACTTTGGGCTAGGGCTGTAAACTGTAAACCGTCCGGTTTGGGCTAGGGCTGTAAACAGGCCAAATAGTGCGTACGCTGCGTGGGGCAGTGGTCAGAGCTGGGCTGAATACCTGTTAAGGAAAACGCATGCGGCAGTGGTGCTGCGTGATGTGTAAATAGAAGCTGGGGGGACGGGGGCTCAGGGGCGTGGGGACGGAGAGTAGGGCAGGGAGCGCAGGCGGTGTAGGGGGAAGATAGGCGCTGCTTGGGGTGGTTATGCTTGTCGTTGTCAGCTGTGGGCTGTTTGTGTGGGGTGGGGTTGCGGGAGATGGGAGGGAAGCACGGTGCGGGCGTGTTCTGGGTCAGGACTTCACTGGCTGGATGCAGAGAATGGCTCGGGGTCGCTTCAGAGGCATGGACAGGAAATGCGTGGCGTACCGCGCTCTTGGTAAACACTGTGGATCCCTTTTGCGTGAGGAGGGGACCAACTCAACGTTCGCCGACATCCGAAAGCATCCGAAACACCCGTTGCTCATCCCATTGCCATCCACTCTCGTAGCCGCATGTCCTGGTGCCGCAGCCGCAGCCGGGGTGGATCTCCGTTAGCTATCCAACGTCCAAATATCCGTCGCCTCCCATTGTTCCGCAGCAAGAGCTCCTGCTGTGGATGCCGATGCCGATGCTGCCGCGACGGCCGCCACTGTTGACCGCCGTTGACCGCTGTTCCGTGTCCTCCTCTCTCTCCTCTATGGCGCCTCTATGCAGGCCGCAGCACTCATCGAGAAGCTACTTCAGCCCCAGGACGAAACTCTGAATGAGCACAAGCGGCTGCAGTTGCGGGAGCTTGCGGCGTTGAACGGTAAGTAGCTGATAGGGTGTGAGGGTTGAGAGGTCCTCCCGGGTTTCGAACGAAGACCGCTGACCGAGACCCGCAGTATTCCAAGGATTCCGGAGAAGGCTCTCTGTGGGCCGAGGCCGGGTATTCTCGAGGAAAAAGGATTTTGGAGGAGCATATGTAATGAAAGCATGGGTCTGTGGCGTGAAGCATTGGTCCGCGGCGTGGGTCCACGAAAGCCAGGACCCCACCACCTTTGGGGATGGCGACAGAGCAGCAGGAGCAGGGGCCGCGGAGGGCTTTTGTCGGTGTGTCCAAGTTTACCTCTTGCTAGCTTTAGCGATAGCGATAGGTATAGCTAGTTTAGTTCACTCGCGCACACACCGGTAAACTGTCCAATCGTCCCCCAGCACCCTAGCCGTCCTGTATGCTGTGTGCTGAGCTCGCGGCGTACCATTCTTGAGTTAACCTCACTCTCACCTCTGTCGGCCTTACCCTTGGTGTCTTCCGGACACGCCCTTTGCATAGACCGTCCTGGGCTACCTCCAAACCATTTGGGTGTTTCAGTAGCGCTAGATGTTTCAGTAGCACATGGATACCGAACTCCGAGAGCCTTTTTCGTAACTCGGGGTCAACTTGCATATGCACCTGATCAGGGACGCTCCGAGACCATGAGATTATCGAGCTGCAGCGGCAAGCAGAGGAGGGCGGTGAGGTCTTCAGGCTGCCGGAGCACCTCAAGGAGAAGGTCAGTCTGAGTGATGTGATGTGATATGTGGTGTGTGGCGGTGGGGGGGGAGAGGAGAGGAGAGGAGATGTTGCGCATGTCTATGGGGTTGGGAGCTGGAATGGAGTGCTGCTCGGATCTTGCCGTACGCAACTTCCTGTCTCATCAGCACGCATATCGGATTATCAACAGGTTCAGGGGTAAAAGGCGGCCTGACTGGTTAACACATGCGGCCTGACTGGCGAACACATGCGGCCTGACAAGCCAGCCCCACCCGCCGCCTCCACCTCCACCTCCTCCTGGTTCTGCTGCTGCTACTGTTGCTGTTCTGTGCAGGTGGAGGAGCAATACCGGCGGGACATCATCGCAGTGCATGGTGAGGGTGCTGCCTCCCTGGAGGACGAGTACAAGAGCTTCCTGCGGGACTTGGGCGGCGATGTGCCGCACATACCTAGGTATGTTGCCGCCAAGGAACGGGGAGGGGGGCTGTGGGGGGGTGGGGGGGTGTTTTGCGGGTTGCATGTGGGTCCGGGGGGACATCGGAAAGGTGCCTCTGTAGCTCATGTCCTCTTTCCATGGACTCATTATGTGGCAACATCCATCAATATGTTAATGGCCCGACAGTAAACGAGAAATTGGTTTGGTGCCGGAGGGGAGCCAGGGTGAGCATCTATTCGGCATTTCTTTAGCCGCACAAATTAACCCCACACACAAAAAAAAAGGTGACACGAGAGAGACAGAGAGAGTTTTATGCACTTGGTCCTGCGCCGTAGCCTTGTGCGCCATGCTTGTTTTTCCAAGGCCTGCTATCGCCCCATGCGCTACCTGGCCTTGCATCGGTCGCCTCCTCTGCCAGGGAGTTGGAGGGCATGCTGGGTCCCGGGGGTCGCGGGCGGCCGGGGCTGGGCTTGGGGGCCGGCGGCCGCCACGACGAGGCTGACCCGCGGACGGTGTACGTGGGCTTCATTCCGCACCACACCACGGAGCACGAGCTGCGGCAGCTCTTCTCGACATGCGGCGAGGTGCGCGGTGGTGCGATAAGGGGTCTGTATTGAAAGAAATCAAAACAGTTTTAATTTTTTTCTGACACACCTCTCCCTGGCTGCGTGGCGTCCCCCCCTCCCCTCCCCCGGGCTGCGTTTTACATATGCCCTTTTTACATGTATGTATTGGTCCCTATTCCATCTCCCCACGTTCAGTCATCTTGTGAGCTAGCAAGCAACCCCCCATGGCGTGCGCATTGTCGCATTTCCGCATGTTTCCAATTCGCTACAATTATCTTCTCATGGCAGTCGCCTCTCTCGCCGCAACCCGCCGGAACTCCCGCGGGGGGGGGGTCCGTTCGTTGTTGACTTGTGGGTGGGTGTGTGGGCGTGTGTGTGTCATATGACCCAAACCCGGCAGGTGGCGGACTGCTCCATCATCACCGACCGCCATACAGGCGCAAGCCGCGGCTTTGGCTTTGTCAAATATGCGACGGACGAGCAGGCGCTGGTGGCCATCGAGCGGCTCCACAACTACGTGCTGGGGGGCCGGCGACTGGTGGTCAGGGCCAAGGGAGCGCAGCGGCCAGGACCGGGGATACCTGGCGGACCGCAGCCGCCGGGTGGCGGCGGGAGTGGCGGGATCGGGCCGGGCGGGCTGCCGCTACCTCCACCGCCGCCTGGGCGACCAGGTGCGCGCTGCTGACATGGCTCTGCCGTCGTGCCGCCGCCGGCGGTGTGTGTTCAGTCGTACGGTTTTTTTCTTTTACGAGGCCGTGTTGTACGGTTTCTCTTACGAGGCCGTGTCGTACGGCTTCTCTTACGAGGTCATCATTCCGTAGGATGTTACTGATGTGTGCCCCTCTTGAAATGTTTAGGGGCTCGGGTCCTGGATGGTCAGGGGATGGACCACCCAATGCCATTGCGGGTTGGCTTTGATCTCACCCATCACCTCCAATCTGCTTTTTTTGCCTTTTGACATGGTTGTGCTTTTGCCGGCGATGGATTACGCTGTTGCTCAGGTTTGGACAATTACCTGGACTTCTCGGGCGGCTCGCTGCGACCACCGCAGTGGGTCTTTACCGACGACCCGCCGCCAGGCTTTGACCTGGTCGCCGCCGGCGCCGTACACCACCCCGTGGATCCCGCGGCGGCTCCGCCGCCGGAGCACCTCGCGGACTGCTCCGGGATGCACCGTTACATGGTCGCCCAATCGGAGTGGCAGGCAGTGCAGGCAACTTACGGGTCGGCGCCACATCTAAGATTGGACGCTGTCGCCATCGGTGCCGTTGCCGCCGCCGCCAGCGGCGGATACAACTACTACCTACAAGAACGGGAGCGGATGCGGCAGCAGGATTTGCAGCAGCACTTGGGTGGCGGGGACGGCGGAGCAACCGGCGAGCAAGGTGCTGGCGGGGGCGGCGGCGGCGGCGGCGGTTATCACGATGACCGTTTTGGGGATGGGGGTGCAGAAGCACGGGTGGGAAGGACACTTTTGGAGGAGGTTGCGACAGTGTGGTTATCTCCGCCCATGACGTTGGAGCCCGGGCCGCCCGGGGCGGACTCTTGGCCTGCTGGCGAGGCGCCGCTCGTGGCGCTGCCCGGCGAAACGGCAGAGTCGTACAACGCGTACTGCGCGGCATACCATGCAGCTGCCACGTATGGCTACGGGTACGACATGTACGGGGACGGCGTCGTGTACGATCCAGCGCTCTGGGGTGATTCAGCAGCGTACGGCGCGCAGGGTGTGGGGGGAGGGATGGATGCGGGAGGGGCCGTCGCGAAGGCGGCGGCGGAATCCGCAGCGGCGGTGGCAGCCGCTGCGGCGGCGGATGCGCCGCCCGGTGACGATGCCGCGGCGGCGGCGGCCGTGGCGGCAGCCGCAGCCTCCGGTGCTGCAGGTGGCAGCGGTGGGTTGGGTGGTGGTGGTACCGGCGGCGGTGGCGGCGGCGGCCATCGCCGTGGCGGCCGTAACCGCAACAAGGCGGGTCCAGCGGTTGTTCAAGTGGTGTCGTTGGATCCCGCCGAGATGGAGAAGGCGAAGAAGAAGAAGCAGGAGGAGGAGGAGCGGGCGCGGAGGATACGCGAGGCGGAAGAGCGGATGAAGGTGCGTGCAGTCAATAGACCCTGGGGGGGGGTGCATGAAGAAAAATGGACAGGTCGGACGCGGCGACTCTGGCTGCTGCGTTGCTGTGATCATGGCGTGTCCATGGTCCTAGGGTCCGTCCGCCGCCGCCGCCGCTGGGAGTTACAACAGCCGTCTTCTTCCCGCTGTTCCTACCACACACCATCCTGGTATAGCTGCCCTCCCTTACCTCAATCGCTTTGGAAGTCGCCAGTTGGTTAATACCTTTGATGTACTCGTGTACAGAATCCTCACTTTCCGGGCTCGCTCCATCCTGTGCCGTCATTCTGCGCAGGCGGATCAAGAGCGGCGGGCGAAGGAGGAGGCTGAGCGGCAGCAACGAGCCGCAGGTACATCCGGAGCGGGCTTTGCTGCCGGAGACGCAGCCGGTGGTGAAGCAGGCTTAGGGCCGGGGCTGGGTTCGGGTCCTGGAATGGGACAGGGCGCATCCGCCGGCGCCATCCGAACCGGAGCGCCGCCACCGCCGCCGCACCCAGGGGGGCCATCCGACGGCCTCGGGCCGCGGCGCGGCACCCGCAGTCCGTCGCCGCCGCTGCGGCGCTTCAACTCCCGCAGCCCGCCCATGCGGGGTCGTTTCGTGGCCAGTCGCAGTCCGCCGCCGCGCGGTGGCCGGTACGTTGCGAGCCGCAGTCCGCCGCCGCGCGGCCGGCTAGGCGCCGGGCGCTATTCCAGCCGTAGCCCGCCGCCGCGCGGTGGCGGCGGCGGGTCCCGCTACGGCAGCCGTAGCCCGTCCCCGCCGGGCCGAGGGCGGCATTACGGCGGCAGGTACGGCAACGGTCCCGCCGCCGCAAGCCCCCTTGCGGATCACCGCGGAAGACGTTTCAGCCGGAGTCCGTCGCCGCTGGGCCGCCGTGGGAGCTTACGTGGCCCTGGTAGCCGGTACGGCAGCCGGAGCCCGGGGCCGTACCGGGGCCCGGACCGTTACGACAGCGGGTATCCAGAGGAGGACGAGCTTCCAGGCGGGCGGCGCGGTGGGCCTCGGGACCGGGGACGGGAGGATCGGGTGCTGGGCGGTGCGGCGGCAGGAACAGGGGCGGGGCCTGCTGGGCCTGCGGAGCAACAGCAGCAGCCGGCGGCTTCGCCAGAGGTACGTGTCCGCGTATGTTTGTATGTATGTATGTGTGTGGCGGGGTGCTTTGGCGTCGCGGGACGGTGTTGATCACTTGGGCTCGACTCCCAAGTCCGACGTGCATTCAGAGACCGGCTTTGTGGGGGCTTGCGGCAGCTAGGGGACGAAGGCTGCATGGCCTGCCGAGTGCATCAAACGTTTCTTGGTGCGAGTGTGTGCGCCTTAAGGCCTCAAGGTTCGACTTGCATGGTGGCCACATGGTTTGAGGGTGGGTGCGTGCGAATGGACCTCAAGGCCGGTGCCGCAGTCCGATTCAACAGGGCCAGATGGCCTCGAAGAACTGCTACTGCTTATAGTCCGTGGGCGGCGCCGTGGACCTATGTTGTCCAAAACCAGCTATGTAATCTCAGCACCACCTCCCCCCGGGGGGATATGTGGGACACACAATCAACCGGATGCGGTCTCTTGACGAGTTGCCTTCTTTCCTGAGTGCCTATCGCGATTCACGATAGCCCTGGTGCCGTGCTTATGCCGTCTTTTTTCCGACTCGGCGGTGTTGTGTTTCCCCCTTGAAATAAACCCCGCCCGCTCTTCCCACAGCCCACCGAGTCGGGAGAGATTTCGGAAGGCGAGGTCCCTGGCTCGGACGCCGAGGGGCCGGCGGGGCCAAGCGGCCGTACCCGGGGAGAACCCGGCCAACGGGCTGGTCGCGGGGCGGCGGCGGCGGCGGCGGCGGGAGTGGGCACAATGCGGACGGCGCAGAAGCACGCCGAGGCTATGCCGCTGGGAGTTCGTACAGTGGGGGGTACGAAAAGGGGTCGCGAAAGGGGGAGGGCCCGGGTGGGTATCGAGGGGGGGGCCCGGGGGGAGGGTCGGGGAGGGGGCGAGGCGGTGGTGGTGGTGGTG